CATGACTTCTATTAGATGAGTTGTTATCAAGTTGTTTTTGTATTTTAACTAAAGTTGTTATTCAGTTTTATACGTATGTAAAGAGTTGCTAAAAGATATAAAGCAACATTGGTCATAGCATTAGGTTTGACTAGGTATAAATATCAAAATTTACAGTGTACACCCTACTTTTTCATTCATTTCCTTTTTCTAAAAATATATCGCCTTCTTTCTTCTTTCCCATTTGCTCTATGTTCTATCGTTCAATTTCTCTCTCAATTGCTCAATCCAATATGATATCAGTCGAAATTTACACATAGCTTCTGCACCTATATCTATATCTTTTTTTTTTATCTCGGAAATCGAGTTACTTTTTTCTCTCTGCGATCGACGGTACAATATCTCCTCCCACTGCTAATATGTTTTATATATTTCTTGGATGCGTGCGAACAATCTTGTTCTCTCATGGATTCTTAATACATTATTAAAGAAATTCGTCAATCTCTGCCCTTTTTTACTTCAACAAAAGAAGTTTGGGATGAGATTAAGACGGTTTTTCTATGGAGCCACTCGATTATTTTTCTTACGGAGCCATTCGCTTACGTTATTCCTACGTGGCACAAACATGTGTATTAAAATACATGACACATGTTTTTTTTACATAGATAACTAAAATAACAATAAAATAAAAAAGAAATGAATGAATTAATCCCAAAATTCCTGTTCTTCTTCTCATCTTGTCATCCACAGCCGCAGTCGACATGAACATAATTCAAGAATTACATACATCTCGTCATTTTTAAGTACACATGAAAGGAATGCTGCCGGAGATTTGTGGTATTTTAGCAGATTCCCTATGCCGCTTGAATGTAAAATTGTGAAATGTAAAAGTTTAGCAAATGTAAAATTTGTGACCCTTTTCTCGTGTTATAGCTTTCTTTATAAATCTTCTAGTTTATATTATTCATCCAAAAAATTAAATCATTTTCATTTTGATCATATCTAGAGATTTGGAGACTGCGGGTATGAGAAGAGCAAAAGGGGGAAGAAAAGAGGACAAAAAGGCTTCTTGGTACGGCCGTGGTCGGGGGAGGGGGGGCGGATGTGAATTTAGGAATTTGGGGACTGATGGGTTTGAGAAGAACAACGGAAGAAGTAGAAAAGTCTTTTTTTCCTTTTATCAAAATAAAAATAAATTACACGTGTCTTGTATTTTAATCCACATGTTTGTGCCACATAAGAGCCACGTAGGCGGATTGCAAATAAAAACCATTCAAGGACTCCATAGAAAAACCAGAGATCAAGAATAGATATGCATTAAGTAGTAGCTCTAGGGTTTTTCAACTTGAAAATCACTAAGTACGATGGATCAAGGTCCAATGTCTATAACTCAATATTGCAATGCTTTTAAGGCTCTTTGTAACATATAGACCAATTTCCAGATGTACATGTGGTTTTTTTTTTCTTTTCTTTTCTTTTTTTTTATATGTACTTGTGATGTTTTGAGTCAATATCCACAGCTCAGCAGCAAGATTCTGTAATGAAATTCGTAATAGGCTTAACTGACTCATACTCCTCATTAAAAAGCCATCTCCTCTAATCCACACCACTTCCAAGCCTCACCAAAATATACACCCTCTTACTTCAAGAAGAATCCCAAAGAAACCTTCAAAACACCTTTCTGATTGACCCCGTGGCTATGCTTGCTAAGACAAATTGCCAATCACACCCAATACCAAACAAACCTCCATTTCCCAAATACATAAAAATATCCAAATGCTCACATTGTGGTTACACTGGCCATTCTGTTGACACCTGTTTTCAACTAATTCGTTACCTAACCAATTGGATTGGTCCAAAAGGGCCAAGAAAACACCCCAACCCATCTGCAAATGCTTTTCATACCTCTGATTCAATCATTGCTGGAAATTCCATGACTAATGATCTTTTTGTTGAATTTTTAGCTTTTAAAAAGACTAAGGAAACTTTAGGGGATGATTACACACCTGTGATTGCTTCTTCTATATCAGAACTGCCAAGTGCTTTAGGTGTTTCTCATTACCCAATATGACTGCTAACATTTTAGACAAAAATACTTGGATATTTGACACTGGGGATACTGACCACATGATCTGTGATATGGATTATTTCTCTAGTTGTCCAAATTATGTAAACGTTAAGATAAATCTACCAAATGGACAACATACACAAGCATGCCACATAGGAGAGATGTAACCCTTAGTAATCAACTGAAATTGAACAATGTGCTCTTTGTTCCTAGTTTCATTTTAATCTTCGTTTAGTTTGAAAGCTAGAATTTTCTATGTTGTTCTATTCATGTCATCGTGTTTCATATTACAGGTCTTGACAACTCAGCAAATGATTGTTTTGCTAAACTTAAAGATGGTCTCTATCATCTGAACATTGGATCTAATTCTTCTTTTCCTAAACATTATGTTCATAGCATTTCCAATGTATCTTTCTATTTACATGTAAATGCAAACACTTCATGTACGCAGAACACTATCACACGACATCACAGACTTGGTCATTTGTATTACTTGAGAATGTCAAAACTGCTTATTAACACATCTTATTGTAAAATAATGAATAATACTCCATTTGATGTATGCCATTTTGCAAAGCAAAAGAAACTTAGTTTTGCAATTAGTACATTTATTGCATCACATTGTTTTGATCTCATACACTGTGATATGTGGGGACCTTTCACCTCAAAATTTCATAATGGTTATTCATATTTCTTAACAATAATCAAAGTGGATGTAAAAAATTACGAAAGATGCTACTAAAAATAACAGACAATTAAAATCATTATGTGAGTGGTGTAGATGAATAATCAACTAAAGTTGAATAGATCAGTGAAAATGATTGATTTATTGATATTATTTAATTATATTGATTAGAGTTAAGCCGAATTTGATTTTTAGTTAAAAAGTGGTAAAAAAACTACTCCACCAAAAACAGTCGATTATGTTCGTATCCACTATCCACCCACACCCTTAGTGTTTCTTTAGTAATTAATATGCTTATATCAGAAGATAATACTAATAGAATAATTAACACTCTTGTTTTTCCATTGGTTATTATTTGTAATCACTAATAACCAAGTTGTCTTAAATCTCTAAGTTGTGTTAGTCTTATTATTCATCTGAATATCGCATTTTTCTAAGTACGATATTTCTTCCCAACATAATCGCGTTACAAGCGACGCCCATTGACAGGATCTCTCAGCCTAGTATGAAATGAAATACCCAAACAGCACCTGAGAATAAGTAGCTGAGAGAATCTAGTGAATTTGATCTTTAATATCCAAACATGAGTTTACTTACATGATTATCTATCATCAATAACTGCTGCTTGTACCTCAAAGTACAGAATCTGGCTGAAGCTCAAACTCGAGCAGTCATTCAATACACATACCGAAAGGGAAAGAGTAAAACAAGCAACAGCAGAACTTCAAACAAGATGCCAGTACTCAGTGTAGTGCTCGAGAAAAAACTTGAATTATAAATCATCACAACCTGGGGAAACCAAGGACGAAATAATCGAGTTTGAGAGTGAATCCATTGGGACTTCCAAATTTTGCTTTAGTTGCTAAACAATCATTTGCTCCATTCAGATAACAAATTCAGTTCTCAAGATTATTCACGCGAGACACCTTACTGTAAGATAAATTGCAAATTTCTCATCAGACAGTTGTACAAAGCTGATATTAGGTCTCATTTCCTGACGAATATCGACTGGTAAGAAGTCATGTTCAAAACTTAAAAGAAACAAAGACAGACCAAGAGAAGAAATATGTTCATCTCAGGTGCATCTTCTAGACAGAAACCTTGCTTCAAACCTTGAAAGATGGAACTGATCACAAATCATCATTGCAAGCTGATTAATGCAAAAGAAATTAGTGAAATAATACTTGGATGAACTAAACATCAATAACAAATGATTCTCAGAAATGACATCATTGAAATTTTAGCTTCGAAGAGTAATGAGACAAAAAAGAAAAAGAAAAATCTCCGAAGGAGCAATCTAGACGCATAAGACGGAATGAAATTATTGTATCCAAACATTATTTTTGAGGAAAAAACAAAAGAAAAAAAAAAGGAGTAAACACCAACAACTAACAGCTCTCCTACATCTGGACACATAATGACCCTTCACCAGCTCAATGAGAACTTTCTTCACATTCGACGATCAGTGTTTAGAAGAGTTTCTACACTAAATATCCCTTGCCTTCCAAAGTTCATCACACTTCATCATTGCAAGCTGATTAATAACATCACATAAACTTCAATCAGACTCATTTTTGTTTTAAAAGATTTCTAGAATGCTAATGACACCTATAGCAACCACTAATATTCATACTATTCTGGCACGTACACTATCATCGTTGAGATTATACTATAGTAACTTCCATAGAAGAAACTTTATATGCAAAATAGAATTTGATACAAGGATAACATTGCAAGAAATTAACTGACATATAAGGAAATGAAATTTCACAAATCAAGAGTTATAAACTGTTGACAAATAGAACGTAGAGGAATTCTATTCATGTATAAATAGGAAAATATGTCTACGTAAAAGCATTGTCTCCCAGCATGAAAGTATTAAAGACTACTAAAGTAATTCTCTGCTTCTCCATCTTCATCTAGTCTTGTCAAGGCCTACAAACAGGATGAATGAATAGACTACTTAAACAAAATGAGTATATAGGCATGTAGAAGATATAAAGTTGATGGTTCTTCGCATGAAATAAGGAATTAAAACATGCAAAAGATTTTATTATCACTATGTAGAAACAGGCAACCCAACACTGAGGCCAGCCGAGGAATAGGTTATCTGAAGAGATATGAGAGGGTCAGAGACTGGCTAATCTTATAAATAAATTATGCTAGGATTTTAAAATGTTTCAGGTGGCCAGACACTCACAATGAGAAAACTAACTCACCAGGGATATGAAAGGAGGACAAGGTCAGCAAAAGAAGGCTCTATGCTCGCTAGATGCCTAAAATCAAGAATGAAAAGCCATTGGTTAGGCAACTCATCACCATTTACTGGTTTGTGGAGAAAGAAAAAGAAGGAAGCAAGAGTTGTACTTGAGAAAAATAAATAATGCTCACGTAGAAGCTGACTATCACTCCAAGAGAATTGTTTGGGATAGATGGAATAAGCATCATAAGAGATATAATAAAAAAAGAATTGTCCTAGGTGCTACAGATTACGTAGTGACTACTGTTCCAAACCCCAAACAAATTCTTGTCACTGTGCCCTTCCTAATATCTATGAGACCAAGAAATTACGATGTCGAAAGAAGTGCCATTAATCTGAAAACTTAATTATTGATTCTAGTTCTATTTTTATATGTATTCAACTCGTGAAAGTAACATTGACTGTTTGTTTGAGGTTTCTCTTGAGAGCCGGAAAATTGGGAATTTGATCATTTGATGTACCTTTGAAGTAAGATGTGTTACTCGTGAAATAGAGATCAGAGAATGCTGTATGAACAAGTTATGCAGAGGTATTCATCACAGGGACAACAGCAGACGAGACATCATCAATCATTCAGTCATCAGATCAAAATATAAAGAAAAAAAAAGGACAAAACTTTCAAGCACAGAAGTATTTTCAAAAGTATGAACATTCATATTTGACGGTACCTTCCGGCAGCCAACCATAACCGCAGCTGGAGACAGTGAGCATTGACGTCATCAAGGCGGAGGCAGTAGCCGTGTGGTACGGCTGCAACGACTCCAGGCACGCACTCAATTCGACGGGGTTCCTTTTAGAATATTAATCTCCAACAATTAAACCTCGAACCGCGAAAAAAAAAATCGTCAATCGAATCGCGTGATGAAGGAAAGAATAGTAGGTACCGGAGGACGCGGTGCGCGAGAAGAGGAGCTCTGGATGGGAGGCGGAAGGGGGCGGAGGCGGAGGCGGAGGCGGAGGCGGAGCGAGCTGATTTGGCCTCGGAGGCGAACCTCGCGGCGGCGCTACGGACGGCAGACGACCGGAGAACAGATCTGGCGGCGGTCGATGCGGCAGACATAACCATTTTTCCCTTTGTTGATGCTGATTTTTGGAGAGCTGAGTAGTGAGTGATATAACCGAGGTTTTTCTCAGAGCTAAAACCCTACCAATTGGGGAGTGTGCTGAAATAGGGAATAAAACTATTTTATCAAGTCGCTTAATTATTTTTTGATAACTTTTTATTTAGAGCATTCATACTGAATATAAAAAAAATAAAAGTAATAATTACATCCGTTAATCAAATGAAATTAAGTGACTACAGATATAATGTACAAAGACCAAATTTCAGAATTTGAAGAGAATTGCTTGATATTCATATTTTATGTTTCTTGGTTGGTTATCTTTTCATCTATTGGTGGTCAAAAGCTATAAATTATAAGCTCAAAAATTATTGATAAGCTATAAAACTTATTAACTATCGACTAACTTATTAACTCGTTTTACCAAACATACCCTTAATTATATATTTGAGTAAATATAGTACACTTATATTTAAAGTTTAGTTAAACGATCGAATCGAATTCAAGTCATGTCGAGCATCAAGATGTAGTCCAGCATTCTTATTTTTTTGCCAAAGTCGAATCAAGCACCATTTTGCATACTTGTCGAGCTCGAGCAATAACAAAAAATAAATAAATAAATAAACAAATAAATTCCATACTCGACATACATTACGACAACAGTACTAATCAAACAGTAAGAGAAATAAACGGAACCAAGACTAGAACATAATAGTAAGTACTTGAAATATGAGGTTAACATCGTATTTCGTATGACCCTCGCAATCAGTTTCGAGACATAAAATTCTTCGTGCGCCAAATCGAACGAAACAGACACAAAATCTTGCATTGCGAAATCTGGCCGAATCAGCTTTCATAGACATCAATCGCCACTGGAAAAATACTTACGGTAGAAGTGGTCTGATTCAGTTAAAGCCTTTTTGCATAACCAAGTTCAACCTTTAACCAACATCAACTCTCTTCTTTGTATTCTGGATTCTCCTTTAATATGACAAACCCTTCAAGAATGGGCGACAATGGAATATATCTGCAGATTTATTGAATATCCTTTGAGTCAAAAATAATATGGATCTGGTAATATAGCTCGAGAAAATAAAATAAACACCTAGCAAATACAAAAATATCGTGTAATAGTTGACTACTTACTGCAGTTTGATTGTTGTAATTTTAACACTGTAAAGACAAGGACTTACTTCTCGGTTGCAAGCTCGGCTCGATCACCAGCAGCCAAAAGAACAGGAGTTGAGTGAGTTTGAAAACCTGTGATGGTCTTGGGTCGACCCGCCTGACCAACAACATCAACAGCTTGACCCACACGGACAGGTACAGAAAGAGGTTTAAGGTTCTCATCCACAGTCATTAGCATCCTTGGCTGAAGAGAAAAGGACACAATATAAAAAAAGAATAACGGCCACACATAACATGATTCGTAAATGTTTCAAATATGATATTATATCAATTAACCTGCATGGCAAGAGTAAGGAAGTATAGAACATAATGATATTTTCCCAACATGATAGCTTTCATATCCAGACATGCATGCAGCATAATCACAAGTCCAGCAAGTGACGTCCTGAAATTACAAGATCAGGGGTTAAGGACGCATGAGCCAGTTGAAAAATATATATATATATATATATATATATATATATATATATATTAAATCATATAATCAAATATTAAAATTCATAAATTTGTCCAACAATGAAGGTTAAGACTACGCACCAACCCAAACCTCCCAGATGGGTTATTTCAAACAACAAAGTATGATATTTGTCTACCTTAATTACAGCAGGGTTAATATATATATAAGCCTCTTACAAAGGATAAGCCTACACACAAACACAGCTTAAGACTTACAAGCGTGTGCACAAACACACGCACAAAATATGATTTCTCTTTCCATTTTATAGCGAAGCACATACCAGTGCCGAGTCCATGCTCCAGAAAGAATCTTAAAACTCACATTTACAATGTGTTAGATGGAATTTTGGTAGATTACTTACGGGGACAAAAGAAAACGTTCAGAATGATATGGTGATAGTGTCAACAACCCTTTGCCCATGTGGACAAGACCTTGAGCGATCCTCACCTGCAGAATTAACCACCATATTTTGGATTTGATACAGTTTGTTACCAATTACGGATGAATATTTGGATGTTTATAAAAATCACATTATTATTTAAATGCTTGGAATCCATACACAGAACAGAAGGCTGGCGTCTTTGTAATAGTAGCTCGAAAGATTCCGAAGCATTCCAGCTATTCTGGCATTGTTGGTTCCAGCACCTATCAAACCCAACGAAATGATGGATGCCTGCAAATTTCAAATTGAACTATATAAATTAACAAACAATCCACTGGCATGTACAAAACCGTAACTCGAATAACTTGATTGTTTCCCTCAAGTCAATCCAAATAAAAGAGTGAAAAAAAAAAGAATATCAAATTTACCATTGCTACTTCTGAGTCTGCATCATGACTGAGCCTGCTTAATGTGTCCATGACATTGACCTATTCAGATTAGGAAAACAAAATTAACCACAGAAGAAAATCAACCAGTATCTATTACTACAGATGAAAATGAAAAGCTACGTCAGAGAAGATAACACAACCCAGTAACACATTACCTTGGGGTTTGATATGCAAAGCAGACCAAGGGCCAAGGGAACAGCCCTCCTAATGTTCTGCTCACCATACTGCAAAAGATGTTCCAATGATCGAACAGCCATCTCAAGCCCCAGTTCCTCAGCCATAGCTACCATAGCAATGCCAAGAACAGCAGGGCCCTGATATGTTTCGCCCTTCTCAAGATGTTGCGCACACTGACCAAGAAGGTGTTGTACCTGCAAACAGATTAACACAAGATGACAATGGAAAAAATAAGTTTGAGTAATATTTGCAGAATCTACACACAAAATCCAGTAATCTTCCAAATAAATAGGGTTCCATTCCTCATACAGAAGAAAATATCGGGGGCTTTAGATGTGAAGTTGAAAATAGGTGGGTTTTCTTGTAAATTAAACTTCAAGGCTCTCTTTTGTAATAAGGAAAAAAATTGAGGCAGAATTTATTACCTTTAGAACATTCCCCTTTCCTGCATACGCGCAAGACAACAGGGTCATGTCGCAATGTTTCCTAATTTTCTGATTGAAGGTTTTTGAAACCTCAGTAGTAGCTTCCACTGCTTCCTGTTCAAGATAGGCAAAATATTAACGACAATATATCTGGCAAACTGAAGTCCACATATAGAAATCCAATGCATCGATACTGTAACAAATAACTGATAAATGGTATAACAATAAGATTAAAGAACATCGTGAAATGATCTATAAACTTACTTCTTTCCCAAGATAAAGCAAACCAAGACCCAGTGGCAAAAAACGAGCCAAGGGATCTGCCAATTCTGACTCAGTACGATCCATCAACGCAAATATGATTGCTTGGGCAACATCCTCATTGCAAGAACCCACATATACCAAGCCCAGAGAGATGGAAGCAAACGCAATCACATCTAGAGATGACTTGCCCTCTCCAAGTAGAGGCATTATTAAATTGCTAACCTAAGAATACAATAGAGAATGATAGTCAGATCTAGGCAACTGCAGATACATCATCGATGGAATATCTACAAGAATTTTCAGCAATTAAACTACAAAAAGGTATAATTGAACACAGCACCCAACCAGTGACAGAAGACACTCACTTGCTCATCCTTAGAACCCGCATAAGCAAGACCTAGGCCCATTATTGCACCTATTTTAATTGAAGTGTCTTCTTTGTCCACATACTCTGCCAAAAGAGCTAGAGCCTGAAAAAATTAAAGAACTTTATATGTCAGGCATACTCCATATGTCAGGACGATATTAGAATTTAAATACCTCTAGGTGAATGCACAGCATACATAAATAAAATATTTTTAACTAATTTGTTTTATACCATGCAAAGATTTTGAATGAGAGATTAACAAAAAAAATCTTACAGGGTCACATTCATTTCGGACATTGCAGTTCACAATTCCAACTCCTAGTAAAGCACCAGCAGTGACATGTGAATCAGTACTATGGAAATATTTATCTAGTTGAGCAAGCCCAGAGTCAACATCCCAAAGCAGAATCATGCCCTGCAGTAATCGATACACACAATGATTATCTATAAAGCCACGTGATGAAGCATCCAAAGAATCAAGAGCTGGTACACACCAAACTTGCTGCAGCACTGGCCTTTCCATGCTCCTTGTTCTTAAAGAGCCAGCTAGTGGTAGAACCTCCACCACTGGATGCTTCAGATTGAACTGTCATCAACTTATCCTGCAAAACACCTAAACAGAGTAAAGATAAAGGAAAAACTGAAAATATTCGAATTGATGCCATAATGTATCGAGACAAACCTGTCCAAAACCAGCATTTACAAATGCATTGACAAATGTTGCCGCCAAATTCTGCCTGGCAGAATCAACAGTTCCTCCACCAGTACCACGTCCATCAAGTAGATGTGCCTAACAAATCACGTTCTTTTTCAGTTAAACTTGTGTGCTCTGAAGGTGAGAAAGAAGAAAATATAAAAGTATAAACCAACCCATACTAACAGCTAACAGTATATTAGCAGACCTTACACTGACGAAAAATGTTTATTCACTGAAAAGAGAACCATGAAAGAAGCAATAATTGAAAAACTCGTTACAAAACCATGGTATCTCAGAGAAAAACCTTGTAAATATCCTCGGGAGATTTTGGCTCCATGACTTCAATATCACGAGCAAGTGTAAGATAGCCTTCATTCAACTTGCTATTATTGATGAGCTCCTGCACAGCTTCCCTTTCTTCATCTTCCTTGATCATGCTTTTATCAAGTTCAAAGGGAACACCCTATATGAACAAGGTAATGAGTAGATTCTAATCATACACCATGGGCCTGGTGGAACTTACATGGGACAAAACAAAATGAAACTAGTTCACACACTGCAATCAGTGGGTTAAGCCATTAAAGTTTCACATATCCCAGGTTGCGTTTTATAAATCAACAGCACACACTATTGCCTTTGACTGCTTAATAACGGCTGAAGGACTTTGATTTTATCTGGGTGCAATAAACAACTGGAACAATTAGGCCCAAACTTTATACTAGAAGGTGGATAACTATGCCTCATCAACAATTCATAATGGCTAAATAAATAACCTCAAGGTGACACACATTACATCACTAGGTCTAAACATTCGACAGCACAACAATTGCCACTTGAAATCCTCAGAGCTTTATGGTCAGTTACACAGTTAAACCAATCACAAGTTACTGGAAAGAATGCCCAAGATTTTTGAGCTAGAACATGTTTTAGCATCTAGAAACGTATCATCAGGAAACCCTCATCAAACTCCAAATATCAAATTCAAAACTAGTCACCCAATGCTGAAGAGCTTGAGGTTGAAAAGAAAATGCATCCCCCCGGTAATAGAGTGAAAATATCCCCCAACAAAATCATCAAGAAAAACAATAAAAGCAAAAGATAAAAGTACCAACTTGATAGAAAGTAAAAGGGGTTCCAAGCAAAGTTCCAGATGACTTACATGACGAGCCAGAATGAAGGCAAATTGCTGCCTAGTGAGACGATCATGGCAAGTTTCGAATAGTTTTTTTACATACTGCAAAAAATGGCAGAAATCAGACTTAAGGAATATACTATATTTCAGTTAATTAGAGAAGGCAAGTATGATATAATTGGGATTTAGATTTCAAGACCATGAATACTTATTACTTAAATACCAACATTCCAAAACCAATTCTTATAAACCTCTTTCAGTATTATAAAGACAACAACTACGAGAATCTCACAAACTTAATAAGTACAAACCTGCAAATTTCCAAGATACAGGGCTATTTGAAGTGCTCTTGGATATTCTTCGAATTTCATATAAATTGAATGAGCAATATCCAAAACTAACGAATCATCTGGTCCTGGAAGGTACCTGAAGTTCAGCACAAGCAGCAATAAAATTAGATAATGACACCTTAACATATGTTTGATCTAATAGTCCTTGTGAAGTATAAAAGTTCATGTTTATGACGCTCAGACTAGCCTGCAGCCAGGCCGGAAAGTGATTGATGCAACCACTTAAGGGACTCGAATAACCAAAAGCCAAGCATTGCATTTCTTGTGCTTTAAGGCAGCAAATATACCAATTCTTGAAAACAGTAGAACCGATGCATAACTGAATCTCTTTCAAGGAATAATACCAATTAGTAAGTAAGAAAAACAACTATCTGCTTCCGTAAAGATGGTGACGAAAGGCAACCATATTCAGAAAGTTCTATAACCATATACTTCAAATCATGACGAGCAGATGAACAAGGAGATGGTTTATCGCTCTCATAGAGTTAATCACACAGTTATCTATATATACATTGAACTTATGGCTCATTCTACAAAATACAAAAATTTATATACTATAGGATACATCTGGATGAAAAAGAAGTATTCGTATCATACAACCCCTGCATAAGTAGCAAGTTTGGTATTCATGATGTTATGGATAAACAAGTGAATAGTTGAACAACAGACAAAAGAGTCAGGCATCCACTTACTTTGCAGCACTGGTAAGATACAGGCATGTCCGTTTATAATTTGCATGATCCACATGTTCCACTAACAAGTCAAGGTCTTCAACCTGTAAGGTAACGGCATATGTTGAACTTATCTTGTATGCTTCTCATGCAACATACATGAAGGAACAAATAAAGCGGAAAGAGTAGCTCACGTACCTCCATAAGAAGGTCAACCGCCTCAGGCTCAGCATTATGCTGCAAATACGTAAATTGAAATGAATGAAAAGCAGGTCTAAATGATTAAAGTTACGAAAAAACCCAATGCAGTTGCTTGTAGAGTATGATATCTTCAAATGCAAAGAATAGTACAGGTAACCTATGGCAAACCATCAATGCTCTAACAAAAAACCAAAGTTCCTACAGTGAAAGCAATGAAAGAGAGCTATACCTTCATATGGAATGCAACAATTTGCTCCACAAGTTCCATAAGATCATCAACTGAGGCTTCTTCACTCTGAAATAACAATGCAGGTATATTAGAAAGCTAGGACAAACCATTTCCTACATCGCACTAGGCACAGGCATATTTAGAAAATGGAAGTTCCTTCAACTCTATCATTAACTTCCCTAGGTAAATTACCAATTCTATACACAAACTCATCAACAGAACCCAAAGTACATTTCCAGCCTGCTTTCCATGGAAAAAGAAAATGGAATGCAAACAAAATAAAAGAACACTTGGTTGCCAGTTTGGGATAATTTCCAATTTCACATGATTGGTGTTGTGCTTTCTAGGAACAATGGTATTCTATGAAATGCAAACAAAATAAAACAATGCTTGGTTATTACTTTTGGATAAGTTCCAATTTCACATGACCGGTGTCCTGCTTTCTGGAACATTGGTTTTCACAAGAAAACTGAAAACACATTGCAAGGTAGCCACATGCAAGCAATTGGGTCAGGCTTTGTACAATAAAAAACTTCTAACCTGTCGTTTGGCATACTCTTGTGAAATTTCCCCAGCCAAGTTCCTGCATTTATCAGAACCAGATTTAGGATTAACAATATACTAACCAATCGGTTCCTAAAAGGTAATAATCAAATCAAAGTGATAATATATATATATATATATATATATATATATATATATATATATATGTGTGTGTGTGTGTTACTTATTTTATACTCCCTAATTTGGACCAAGTGTCATTTTAGAGTTTAAATTTAGAGAATGAACATAAACGTTTTGACTAATACATTCCTAATCAACTAATAATATTCATAATTTATGTTTCTCTCTTTCTCTACTCATTATTATATCTTATTGCCGTGATTTTGATATAATTCTGAAAATAACGATAATGTTGGAAAAGGTTATAAAGAATTCCAGAACATTTTATGTGTAAAAATACAGAACCTCTAAATCGCATTTGCTGCATAACAGAGGAAGTATAGATGCATTCCTAACAGTGAGTTAAGAGCCGGATCTTTCAGGAGCAAACAGGATGACAACTAAATTATCAAAGGCATGACAAATGCAAACCCTCACCTGACATACTCATGACCCCATGAACCAATGTCCCCTTCTGAACCAAGTAATCGGAACTTCAAGCTATCCTGGAAATGGCAGTATTTGGAAAAAAATATCTTACACCTCATACGGAAAAGTTTCCACAAAAAAATAATCAAGCACAAATCAGTAAATATTTCTGCAATCAGTCGAATCAAAAAAAAAAGAAAAAAAAAAAGAGCACACAAGAAAACCTGTAAGACATTATAAATGAAATATCGGCTGTGCAATGATCTCTAAAGAAACATACATTGCGTAAGGCAGCATATATAAATCTTCATCAGCATGAAAAGTAACACGCTTGTGACAGATTTCTTTCACGTGCCTAGAAGAACTAAAAGCTAATATTGATATAAAATACATGCTATCAATAATCAAGATCTTTTATTATTTTCTTCTTACGGTACGTCCAGCTTCAAAGAAAGTGGAAAAAAAAAATATAAGTTCCAATTGTCTTTGCCGATTATTATTTCGCCAAACTCTACACAAATCAATTAAAACATTTCAATTGTCAAATACAGAAATATTTTTGATTAATAAAAACATATTATAACTTAGTCATTGAGTTACAATGATACAACTCACTGCAAATAGAACAGATCAACGTGGTATTGATGCAAACGAATATAGTTGATATGAAACAATTCATGTTCCAATAGGATCCTCAAGCAATTCTGCATAAAATATTCTGAAGCACAAAAGGTTCCTCATCCATTAGTATGCACACTTCGGGCACATGGAGTTTACTTACTCATGAAACATCTACAATACATCAACTCACAGAGGATTGTGGAACATCAGAAGATCACTTCGTATTGGATGCACAGTAAACAAAATCTTGACAGTAATAAAAGGGGATGCATAAAGCAGGTAAATGCAAATTGCAGCAAACTTAAATTTCTCTCTTTTACCATATCTCAAGGTATCACAACAAAATAGAAGGAAAAAAAGTTTGAATCCTATAGTATGATTTAAATAGTACAGCGTACCCTTTCTCCTTCAGGGGACATGGTCAAGGCCAAAACAGAAAGTATATCCGCTAGCAATTTCTAGAAAGGGGCAATGAAAGGGAAAATCAGACGAGAAATATGTGTGAAAAATCCATGCTAAGGAAAATCAAGATAATCAAATAACCAATCATCACCTTCAAATCTGAATCTGCCATTTTCTCATATCGAGCTAGTAGAGTCCCATAATGAGGACGTAAGAACTTCAGTGGCTTAGGAACTGACGTCATAGAGCTGGTTGCAGTACGGATTTCTTGCCTGCAGAAGAAATGCGAAATTAGAGAATAAACACAACTCAGCCCAATTATAAAAGAAATGGAAAGATATTGTTCCAACAACTACATAGTAGAATAAATATAATGAAACTTCAAAACAAACAACTTACTATTATAATCAAATAAAAGATGGAAGCCATAAAATGCCAGATATAAAGAATAATGCCATAATATTTGAAGGTCTTGAAGACTTTCTAATAAAAGAAAAGTAAAGCCACTAAATTTCTTAATAGATAATAATACAGGATTTGTTTAACAGATTATAAGTTCTATATTGAAATCCTAGTTCTGCTCAAGAAAGAGAAGGCTTTCAACTAAATATTAGCTAATTGCTTGAGAATAGCTCCTGCCATATGCATCATATAAATGATATTTGAATAATAATGTTTATCCTTCGAGATGCTTTGGTTCTCTTTTCAGTATCCTTCGCCTTCCACAGTAGAACACAGATGCTCTTTTTCTTTTCTGTAGGTAACCGTTTCTATTATTATCATGACAGTACCCGAATTTTTTATTTAATTGAAAGCCGACACCAAAAATTAGGAAACAGCCCCATTCATATAGTAGTTACTCTAAGTTATATCGACGGGTGAAGGAGAAGAACAAAGAAATCCTTTATCTATTCAACCTGACTTAACAGTAATATTTTGCAGATTAAGCTTTGAAAGATATTCCGAACCATGTTCAGCTAGAAAATTCAAAATCCATGCACTAGATTGATATCCATTGTACATCATTATTAACATGCTCGAAATGCAATAATATCAAAGTCACCTTTGACAACACAACAAAATGATATTAAAATCACAATCAAATAACAGTAGAACCCACAGCTTAACGTCAATAAAATAGATACATCAGCTTCTACAGTAACCAAATCAATGGGTTGAAATTATAAAGACAAATGCACACCCTTTCCTCTCCCAAAATACTTAACAATCCAAACCAAAGCTAATAAGCAACTACATTTCCAATTAACCAACATAAATCACTCTCTTAAATGATAAATTGATAACAATAACAAAAAAAAAGAAAAGACAAATACCTCATGCTCTCCAGCGCAACTTTCTGCAGTCCAGAATCCGAGTCTTGTACCCTCTCCACATACAACTCCAGTTGCTGCTTCAAAGCCAAGTCCTCCTCAGACTAAAAAAACGTACAACAAAAAACGCATTAAGCCCATGAACAGTCCAAACCACAAGCAACAACACAGACATCCGCCAAATACAAGTAAAAATCCCACACATTCCGAGCTTATTAAGCAATTATAAAACTATTTTACGACTTACAAGATCTTCATCCTTCTTATCGTCCTTCTTCTTGGGCTCTTTCGAAGGAGCCTTGACCGGCGCCTGGTCTCTAGTGGCTTCTCCGCCTGCGCTGCCGCCGTTGCTCGGTTCTGCGGGCGCCATTAATAATTTACTTAAAGATGCTGAAAATCGTTGAACTAATAAGTGCCGATTGATCCGAACTCTTGAATCAAACTGTGGGGAATCAAACTAAAATTGGGGATTTAGGATATGTTAGAGCAATTCAGAGGATTTGGAGGGCAACAGATGCTCGAGTCCAGGGAAGATGACGATGGAACTTTATATATTAGCTTAAAAGTGTGAAGAAATCAAAATATATGAAGAGGTTTCCTTTTCGACAAAGCTAAAGCTATCTAAAGTGGGGTGGTGAATGAGATACAAGAAAATGGGCTTCATGAACTAGCCCAAAGTTTTTTATTTTTTAATCAACCAGCCCAAAGTTAAACCATCCCCTTTTCCATGGGCCAATAATTTGGTGTAGTTCGATCGAGAGCTCGTTCGTGTTCGATAAGAGCTTGTTCGTTTATTAATCAATTTGAGTTTGAACATAAAGTTAATCTTGTTTAATATTCAAACAAACATTAGTTCATTTGCAAACATTAATTTAATGTTATTATATTTTTTCGTGCTCGCACAAATTCGAACGAGCATATCTCACGTTAATCAAACATTTTTTTACGTAGATATTCGAAAATGAATGAATTCGAGCTTCGACAAACAATTATACAAAAAAGCTCGAACATAAGTTTTTACGCAAAAATATAAACGCAAAAACTAACAATATTCAAACACAATCGAATACGAGCTTGAAATGCTATAGTTTGGCTCGTTCGGTTCGATTACATTACTTAAGGAAGTTTCACAAGTTAGTACTTGTTTGGAAACAGTTTTGTAAAAGTCATCACATATTCGATTGAGATTTTAAGTGACATTTTAAGACTTTTTATGATCTGAGATGTTTTGAAATTTTCAGATTTTGAAGGAATGTTGTCAAATCTGGATGTGGAATTTTGTATAAGATTTTTTGTTTAGATATCCCACAAAATCTTAAAATGTTTTAACAAATCATAGTGTTAAATAAATTAAATACCTTTGGATTTTGTAAGACTTTTTAAAATTCAAATTGAATACCTCAAGACTTTTAAAAGTCTTAAAAAGTCTTAACAAATCTAAATTGAATACACCAAGATTTCTAAAGTCTTAAAATATCACTTAAAATCCCAATTAAATACACCCCTAAGTAAACTTCTACAAGAATCTCATCATTTTTTATGATAGACTTTTTAGAAAATCATTTTTTTTTCATATCCTCATTCTGTATTTAGCACAAAAAAAAATAAAAAAAAAAATCAATTTCCCCAATGACTATATGTATTTTTAACTAAATTCCATATTTTATCCTTTTTACTTTGTTTAAATAATGATAAAAATGCATTTTATTCCAAAATATGTCTTTGTCTATTTTTTATTTTTTATTTTTTATTTTTTATTTTTTATTTATTTATTTTTTTTTTTTTTTTTGAGTGCCATCAGACAATCAATTCATTCAAAAGTAATCATTTGGAATTTGTTTGAAAATGAATAAAAACCTAGAATTTAAGCATCTATCTATTATTATATAAAGAGACAACCTAAATAATACAGAAATAGTAACTAAAAAATTATTTGGATTCCCACTAAAACATATACTAAATGTAGTATTTTTTTCAAAATTTTGAGAATATCCCGCCTAAAATGTGTGTCTGAATTTTTTGGAAATAAATTAAATTCAAATATTTTTTTAAAAAAATAGAAAAATACATTCCATCTATTTTATCATATGTAACTTCCATATAAACTCCCATATCTCAAAGCCGAACTTTCTCCTCCGCCGAGATCGCTGCCGGCGAGTGCCACGAGCTCTCGGTCCAGTGAAGCCACCATCTCCGGCCATGTGCATCAGGGACATGTCAAACGGGCGTCGGGACATGGCGGTTGCTGCTCTCGGTCCTGCTGCCGGCGGCCTGAGTGCTGGACGTACCGAACGTGCTGGACATGGCCATGTCGATCCGGGTGATGCCCATGTTGGGTGCCGGGCGGACCGAACGTGTTGCACACACAGGCTGAAGAATTTCATTAGTGATGGCCATGTTAGGGACGGCTGGAGAAGGAGGTGCAATGCTCGACTGAGCTCGGCCAAGCTTCGGCTAGAAAGCTGTGCACGTCTGTTCGTGGTTGAGCTCCCAAGTGCCGGATGGACATGGGTGTTCTGAGGGTAGATGTTGTTGCTGACCAGAAGAGACGAAGAAGATGACGTGCTGGCCGGAGAAGACGATCGGAAGTTGCAGGAAGGCCGGAGAAGATGACTGACGCATTTGTGGCAAAATTTTTGGCATTAACAATTGGGCGAGATTTTTCGTGTGACGCGGCCAAGTTGAAGTGGACTTCCAACGTTGATTGTGCGTGAATATTACGTCGGACTGAGCGGGCTGGAACGAGCGTGCTGGGCCGAGACGGCTTGAACGGATCGGTGCCGGACGCGAGTTGGTGGCCGAAATTATGTGCGGGCTGCTGGAGATGGATGAACTCACCATGACAGGTTGCCTCTTGCGCAAAGGGCTGAATGAGAGTGGCGACGGACATGAACGAATCACGTCGTTGACGGATTTTGGCTGGACATGGCTGAAGGAGGCTTGCGAGAGGGTGAAGATGACTCTTGCAGGAGTGACTCTGGTCCGGCGAAGGAGACGGGCGTGTTTCTGCCCAGCAACTTTTCCGACCGTCAAAGTCGGCAAATTTGTTGCGGACTGAGCGATTCTTTGGCAGAGACGTGCGTGAACAGTTTTTCTGTTTGAGCGAAAAGAATTTGTGTACGCGGATAGTTCTTTTTTTTTTGGTACAATGTACGCTGATAGTTCTGGATAATAGAAAAGACATCTCCAACTTTCAATATTTTTTTTTTCCTTATTTATTTATTTATTTTTATTTTTATTGTTATAAATCATATATGTATGATATTTTTCATATATGATTTTTTTTTATTAGGTAGGAAAAATTATAAATGACCTGTTTGAATTTTTAGAAAATTTAAAACAAAATCACACAATTCATTGTGCACATCGGATAGCAATTGTATAGATATGATCAGGATTTTGTTTCACTAATATGTAGAACACATTAATGGCATTTTAACATTTATCCACAGATTCGTAAACCATTTATTATAATTTTCAAAGTACACGATTCTTAATGGCATTTGAAAATTTGTCCACATAAATATTTTTGCAACCTTTAATTAGATTACAATACTTTTAAAGTAAAAGTTCATAACATTTATAAAAAATAAATCACATCAAATATTTGTTTTGACATTATCACCTAACCTATTATCAGAACTACTGTTTAATATATCTCAAAAACTATTTCCTGAACCAAAAAAATATAAAATATCTATATATATATATATATTTTATTTACTTGAAATATAAACTAAAATCTCGCCTAAATTTTTTAAAATTATTAAACTTGGTAATTTCTTTTGAAACAGTTCGAAAAATCCCGCCAATAGAGCTTTAATTTTGAATTTCAAAAATATTTTGATTTTATTTTAGGGTAATCTATACTTATATAAAAAGCTATCATATTTACTAAAAATAGTAGGTAGAAAAGTCAAAGGTAATTAATGCATTCTATTTATGTTTAAAGTATTTTATTTAATTGTTTTATCACATAACACATTTTCAATACAACTTACCATGATTTTTCTATTGTTATTAAAAATCATATTCTACTTTTAAAATCTTGTGAAATTATTATTATTATTATTATTATTATTATTATTATTATTATTATTATTATTATTATTATTATTATTATTATTATTATTATTATCACGCCATTGTTAAATAAAGTTGAACATTGAATAATTTGAATGTAAAAATATCTAAATTGGACCATTCGGTGCATATATAGTTGGTGCATTTAAATTAATTTTACTACAAAAATATATTATTCGCTGTGTAGTTGGTGCATAGTTTTATAAAAATTAAAACTTTATATTTAAAAGACATTAAAAAAATTGCAAGGGATTCGCACCATATATGGAAATAATGAAATTGGTATAACCATCATGTAAACTATGATTCAAAATAATAATGTATATATTCATAACAAATTTTTTACTATTAAAAAAATACTAAACAATTAAATTATCAAATACCACCATTTAAAATTTGTTAAAGTTTGTAAAAGATGTGGAAAAAAAGTTTATAACCCCATTGTTTTTTAGACTTAACGTTGATTAAAAAAAGATAGAAAATTGATAATAACCCTAATACTTTTCAGACTTAAACAAAAAATGCTATGAAATAACTCATTTAATATATTTGTTTCGTGCATCGCACAGGTACCTACTAATAATAAGCTAAAACATGAAGAGCTGGCCAAAACTCGCGAGGTTAGAACCGCCGGTTCAAGTTCACATTTTATGTAAATTAAAATCTGACTAGGAAATATATACGGGTCGGTTTACTTAACCGGCAATTCGAATTCAGAACATGCCCTGTCGATTTAGGGCCGAATTGAAAAATTAAAAAAAAAAAAAAAAATAATAATAATATAATAATAATAATAATAATAACAATAATAATAAAATATAATAATAATAAATAAAAAAATCAATTTTTAAATTAAAATTTCGGCGTCGAACCGTTGGTTCCAATTCTAGCTCTACCAGTTCGAGACCGATGGTTCAATTTTAAAAATGGTTGAACTTGAACAGCCTCGACTGGTTCCAATTCTGGCTCCACCAGTTCGAAACTGAAACAGATCGTTCAATTTTAAAAATAGTTGAACTTGAACCGCCTGTCCGAGTCGAACCGCGGCCACCTCTACTAACATTAACATGTAATTAACTAATTATATTAGTCTACAAATTACACCACGTGGGGTAGCTTTTTCATCCGTTAGAACAAAGTGTGGAAAAATACCACAGCATGCTGTACTCTATACATGTAGTAGTTGTTCATAATCGATAAATACTCGACTCAACTCAACTCAACTCTAGCAGAGTCGATCGAGAAAATTCACAACTAAAAACTAAAAGGGCCTTTGGAAGAACTCAAAAAGACACATTTATTTCCATTTAGATGGATTAAGAGAGGTTCCCTTATTTGCCTTATCAAATAAAAAAGAGAAAAAAAAAGGGCTACACCTAAAAACAGGTGGGAGGAATCTTTGATATTCCTTGACGTTGAAGTTCGACCAAAACACAATCTACAGCCGGCGGTTTGAGTCCGAGAGGCAGAGGCAACCATGGCCTCGATAAAACTTCACCAATGACTGCATCTATCCTCTCTTTCGACTGCTAATTAAAACAGAATCAGACGTAAAAAATAGGGAAAATTACACCCATGCAAAATGCAAATGTAAAGAGAACCAGCATTTAAAATCGTGATTGCATACGATCTCCCGTCAAGGATATCTTGGGAAAGTTTTATGTGATAAAACTGTAAAAATACCAATTACTGAATGGTTTTTATGATTCAGATAAGCAATAACAAGCACATTAAACATAACTATCATTTCCTGTAGGCCTGCCATTTTTTGAGACATGGTTTTTGTTGAATATCTCGACTTTTTGAAGATTTGGGTTCGGTTCCTACTTGGCATTGCTAACTTTAGTCATGTTCAGAAACCCAAAAAAAAAAGTAATAATAATAATCATCTCACCGGATGGGAGTCTAATGATGGTTCAGGTACAGTTTGGTCATTTGATCCGATGGGGACTCCAAAGCTTGGTGGTAATCTGTACATCGAATTAGATGGAAAGCCCGGTACTGGGTGAGTTGCAACCGTCTGCACGATCAAATATAAACCTTTTCTCATTCTCAAACAAGAAAATTAATCTTATGAGTAAAGTTTTTTTTGTTTTTTTTTTTTTTTTGTTAAGTACCGTGTGGGGAAAATGTGGAGGAAAGCAAGGCATTCCAGGTGCAGGAACCTTCACAAAATGAAAAATGGACAAAATTGCCATTAGATAAGATAAGGAAGAAAACCGAGCATTTTGTGTGTGTGTGTGTGTGTTGTACAATACACTCACATCTTGGTACCAAAAGTATGGTTCAGTTGGCGGAGGAGGCTGCGACTGAAGATGATATGGCGGCGCGTAATTGGGCCACATGTAAGCTGATGATTGGTCGACAGATGGGTGACCCCAAACGTGTAAGGGTCTAATATGAGGCATTGGTGTAACGGGAGGAAAACGTGTGATCGGCACAGTCCACGAATTCCCGTTCTCTTTGCCATACATTTGCCTCCTACGGCTCCAGGCTGCTGCCTCAGTTTCTCGAACGAGCATATGTTTGCGATGGGATCGGTATTTCTGCATAGTAAGCGATAATAAATTATACGCGTTCTTTTGTACCATTAAATTTATCCATGCACAAAAAGAAAAAGAGAAAAAAACAAAATCCATTCAAGGAAGAATCAAGGAAAAACCCATTAAGCTGAAATAAAACTAATGGAACGAACAATAGGGGACAGAAGATAAATAAAATGGTCAATGATCACTTGTGAAAAGACACTAGATAAAAATGTAAAGAAAATTTGCTCAGACAAAACTCGTGCAGTTTAGTAACCGACAAACTGAGTACTCGAGCCCAGAAAGAAAAAAAGGGACAAAATTTTCAACCATAAACTTTAATTTCAGACAAAAGTTTGAAATAGAAATGAAAAATGAGAGAGAAGAAGCCTAATGCATGTGTTTACTTGAAGATGGCTAGCAACATTGTGGCGAGTAAGACAATCAATTCCCATAAGCTCCAGAATTTTGGAAGGGACAGCCTTGTCTACTCCCAGCTGTTCAACTGCTTGCACAAACTGCTTGTGCAACTCGGGTGTCCAATCCACCTATACAATATATAATTAACTTTAATGCATCAAGTCAAACCATTGGTATTCAAGATGGTCATGCAAAAAATTTACAGTCATGAGTCACCTTCACTTTCTTCTTGCTGGAATGGGTTTTCGAACGAGATGATGATTTTCGTCCTTTATCAACTTTGCTCGAAGACTTGGGCAACAAATTCTCTCCTTTAGTCACAGTATCATCTCCTTGAATCAAGCTGGATCCTGATCCTCCGAGTGTAGAAACTGGGGGAGCTTTTTCATTTGTAACAGAATTATTTTCTTCATCCACTTTATCCACTTGTCCTGATGAATTAGCATTTGCACTCATCTCTGATTTCTCGCCAGTATTATCCGAGATTCGAGCCTTAATTTTCGGGTCCATCTCCATACCCAGCAGCTACAATGATCCCCAAGAAACAATTTTGTCAAGTGAATCAAGAAGGCGCAAACACACTCTATCGGGAGTTGATAGTCTAAAGGTTACATTGATATAGGCATGATAAATGCTATGTTAGCTGGATTTTCTCCCCAAAACTTACATTTTTTTTTAATCTTCATATGAAGATAACAATATGTAGGAAACTACATTCATACAAACTACATGAAATCTGGAGTAATCCTCCATTCCAGTTTTCAAGTGTAGCTACGTTTGAAAACAAAACAGTCAAATTCAGATGAAAACAGAAGCCCATGTAAAATGAAATTACACGGTCGCCCGACTCATCTATTACATGATCAACAATAGCTTTGCTCCAATCAGTTGAAAATGAAACCAACAGAGAAAAAAACAGCCCAAATTCCGCACTCAGTTTCATGAGCATCTTACAAGATTCTACCAACTCTACGTAAAGCTTACACCATTAAAACCAAATCTCACCCGGTTTCACTGAGCATCTTACAAGATCCTACCAACTTTATGTAAAGCTTACACCATTAAAACCAAATCTCACCAATTTTCACTAACCTCATGCTCTCGAGCGCAAGTTTCCCCAGCCCAGAATCAGAGTCCAGCCAGAGTGCAAACTCTCACAGATACTTCAGGACAAGCAACTTCATCTTGGCTGAAACAAAAAAAAACAGTGACGAAATCAAAATGCATCATATCCATAACCGCCAGCCCAAAATCACAAGCACGAACAACCCAACAAAATTCGCAGAGAAATCTAACAATTCGCCCGATTTTGAACTTACGGGACCCTCGCTTTATTCACTTCCCGAACGGCGCCGGAGGAAATCGCGGCGAGGCGACGTCGATCGAAACGGGTGGTGGTTAACGGTGGAGTTCGCAAATCTGCGACGGAAAACAAGGTCCGTGACTGTGAGAACTGCTATTTTTTTTTTCTATTTTACTGTAAATCGTTAGAGCAAACCCTAAGCTAGAGGCTCCATGATTGCGCTCGAGGAGCTTCGTCTGCTCTAACAGTCCAACTTTGTTCAGAACAAAACGGTCATTAATGAGGTGATGAGTGAGAACGAGAGTTGAACTCAAAAAGCTTGTGATGACCATAATCACGTTAATCTTTCCATGACTTTAATTGTATTATACACTAGTAGCATACACATATATTTTGAATTTAATAAATTATTAAAAAAAATATTTTGATTTTTTTATTAGTACTCGATCACGTGCACATACACGTAACATCAGTAATGTTCTCCTATTCACGGTGGGCACATGTTAATATGTCAACCGTTTATGTGGCATGTACACATTGTTTGGTGATGTTAATATGTTCAAAAAAATACATCACAAATGTGTCCACCGTGAGTTGGAGAACATTACGGTACATAACAAATCTGAAAAATTTTATAAGTATATATGTATATAATATATTATTTAAATTCATAAGGTAAATGATGAACAATAATATAACTTTTGCAATTTTAATTGATTATAACCAATTAATTACATAAAAAAAGTATATTGAAATTATTATTATGATAAAAATTTAAACAGAGTTGGTTATGCCATAATAAATAAGTAATTTAATTTAATAAAAAATCCCATCATCAGTTGAAAAAAAAAATAGTAATTTTATTTAGTAGTTTGAAAAATATTTTTGCAATAGATTATTTTATAGGTGTATATTTTCATTTATCATCCAGTGTGACTTTTTATGATTTATTAGCAGTAGCCATTATTTAATAAAGTAAAAAAATAAAATATGATCACATAATTAGTGTAAACTACAACAATTTATTTCTAGAATTAGCTGAAAAAATGAGCAGGAAAAAAGAATATAATAATTTTTACATTAAATTCTTAGCTTACAATTATATATATGTATATATATAGTTTTTTTTAAAAGAATAAAATATTATAAATTTTATTCAAAATGGCACGAATTTTATGGTGTATTATATCTTTTTATCAAACACATGGTTAAGCATATATCCAAATCCATTTTATTATTCATCAATTAAGAATGCATTTTATTCATCCATTATAACTCATTTTCATTCACTCATATATTTATTACTATAAGTAATATTCTTTTGGATCTCCATACTATCACAAATATTTATTTATTTTTCTTTACTCTCAATTTTCTTAATATAAATTTAAATTAATCAATCATTATTACTCATTTATTTATTAACTTACTATTCACTCATTCGTATGTCTGTACTCTGTAAACAATTATTCATCATTTTTTTTTTTTTTTTTTTTTTTTTTTTTTTTTTTTCACAACACAATTAACTATTGATTTTCATATCACATCATACTATATCAAAATTGATATAGAGTACCATACCTTGAATAGCACAATGAACCGGCCAATCACGTTGAACGAACCAAGTGGTCGAAGCAGAGCACCCGAAGGTCGAACATCAACAAGGCATCTTCAGGTTGAAAGGAATGAAGGGTTCGAAAGGACAACGACACACCGAGTTAGGGCTCTCAGAGGGCATATTGCAGACTCGACGTGTAAACATGATTGGACAACACTTGAGCCAAGAGTAGACGACATTCTACTTCAAAAGACCTCGAGTTGGTCGCACCATTAGGCAGTCTAATGTGACAGCAAGAGATAAGAAGAAATCTAAAGGGGTTAAGAGTCACACATGGCCTAACAGAATCGGGCAGTTCGAGTTATACTATCGGGCAATTTGGGTTGTCCATTCGGACAGTCTTGGGCAACAAGTATCATCTCCTCTACATAAGGGAGTGCGATATGTCCATTAACACATTACATTATTTATTACTCTACATAAATACAACATTCATCTTCTTTACAGTGCTAACTTAAACATTAAAGACTCTTCACCAGAAAACTCATCCGATATGAAAATTTTTGCAAGTACAAAGACGTTCAACCGGTGAGGAACTCGAAAATCAGGCCGAATCCAGCATGTGGTACGTATCAATAATAATCAGTAATATCCAACTATGTTTATTTCTTCATTCATAAGAAATTATATATAAATATACCTTTAATATTTCTATCTAATTTAAAAATAAATTTAAGGCCTACCCTACATTTGATCCCTTAATATTTTCTTTATTTATTACATACGAGTGAGAGGGTTTTCATTGTCCCAAAAATAAACTAATAATTCAGATGTACTTTTGAGGGAGTCAGTAAAAACCTTACTGCTTTGGTCATATTGTTGCAGTGTATATATCTTTAATAAGAGGTTCAGTATTCAATATGATCATGACCATCAATTATAAGGATTCCAATTTTATTTATTTATTTTTTTTATTTTTATTTTTTTATCAGTAAAATAAATTTTTTATAGATCAAAACTGATGTTACATCAACCGTCACACGATATACAAAAGCAAAGTGGGCGGCCACACAATCATGTTGGGGGTTGAGACAGAGCACATGTTAACTTAAAACTTTGAGAAATTTCAGTTAATCATAACCCAAAAATAAAGTGCTCATGAGTCCAGCTAATTAGCAAATGTAACCTTCTTTTATTATTTTAATTATGAACTAAAGTCTAATCCATATAATAGTATATCTAAAATTATCTTATATATTTATGTATCACATTATGTAAATTTAGTGATTACAATATTCATGATTTAATCACTCAAATTTTAAATATTGATTGAAAGATGATTAACTTAAATATCGACCAAAATCAATTTTTCTACTTAATCAACTTTGATCACTATATTTTAAATATTATTTTGATACAAACTCAAAATCTCACTCAAACGTTATTCAACCAGTTTTTTCAAAATTAGTTCTTATTATTCAATAAATCCAATTAAAATGCTTGATTTAATCATTTTTTTTAAATTAACTATGATTATTCAGCAAATCCAGTTAAAACTAAAATAAAGTGATAATTCAACCAACCTTGGCCATTATGTGAGGTAGGTTACTATTTAGCCTTAGGATTTTTGGTTTATAGGGAGATGCTACGGTCTTGTTACGGAACAATTCTGTCAGAGTTTGTAACCGTTAGATTAATTATTCCCGACAGTTACATGATGATCCAACGGTTACAAACACCGACAGAATGATTCTGTAACGAGACTGTAGCATTTTCCTGTTTTATAAGTGGA